AAAGAAAAAGTATGCCTGGTTTGGGTGCCGACAAAGATTAAGACTGATTTGGATTGACACTTTCGGATTTATAACGTGCAAACCGTGTCTTTTTAAGTAGATATTTTTATCAAATCTGTAATCATATATACTAGGAAAAATCGCATTACGATTCATACGAATTTTATACATGGCTTTTTTAAATACTAGTATATTTTCCGAAAAATACGCTGATGCATCGGAATTTGACGCCTGATCAAAAACATTAGAATATAAAAATACAGATTACAGAGACTTCTTGATACATACTCTAACAATTTTTCAAATGATACATAACAAGTTTTCAAAGTATCTTATTGTGTGTGTGCTTTTTTTTTAGTCAACTATTTTGTGAATATTGTCAGATGTATCATGTTATGATATGAGTATGTTGCTACGTGTCGTGAGATGTCGAAACCAACGCAAGCATGTCCAGGTTGGTTTTTACGCTATTTTCTTCTTTATGAAACAATCTATATATGTTTATAATGAATATATCACATTATCAACATTATCTGAGTGAAAAGCCGTACGTATTAATTATTATTACTCGACGGAAAATAAATACCCAGTTTAGCTGATTTTGTTTTCTTTGGTGGCATACCCAATTTAGCTGAATTTGTCAATTATTATTGATTTAGGATATATATATATATATATATATATATATATAATTTAGGATTAGCTATATTTTTTATAGCTTTGACATTAGTACTTTTGAATTAAATATACAATATATTATGACATTAGAAAATGATATACAAAAGCATCCGTACCTAAATTTTTGGTGCGAGTTTATATTTTCTGGAATTTAAAAGAAGAAGAACGTTTGGTTTGGTGGCCACAAGAGTTATGAAAGGTCAGCCAGGTATGATTTTGTTCCATACCCATTACAAACAAAAATAAAAATCAAGAACTTATTGCAGCTGTTATCGTAAAAAGTGACTAGAAGGAAATTTGTATAATATGATACAATGTTACATTTTAGAACTTTTTAAATGTAAAACTACTGTAACAAAAACAAATGTGAAGAAAAATGCTACTTACAAAAAAACATAAAAATAAGGGTTATACATCGTTACAACTTACAATTATGAAATTTAAATCAATATCAATAATTAAAGTAAAACTCGATGATGAACAACGACATATAGTCGATTATCAAGGAGACTAACAAAAGGTACCCAAAGAGGAAAGAAAAGAGAAGGCAGAAGAGTAGCGCGCGATAGCCGATAGCCATTGGAATTCACAGAGCACCAAATCAAAGGATATATATGAACGACGAAGAAGAGAATACATACAAAGTTTCATACATTCAATCTCTACAGCTTTGGGACTAAACGTGCCTGAGGAGCATCCCAATCAGTGATAATGTGGTTACGTGTGATCTCTTTTAAACTAGTGCATCCACTCAGTGCCATTGTGAGTTCGAACTCTTCTCTCATCATCTGTAGCACTTTCCTCACTCCAGCCTCTCCTTCCGCCGCCAACGAGAACACCACTGGCCGTCCGATCTGTTTCCCAACAAAGCATTAAGAAATTGACGAGAATAAAAATTGGGTTTCTTGTATCCCAAGGACAGTGAATTGTTTCTTGTTTTGCAAGAAACTTTTGTCTCTTGGCACTTACAAATATGCCTGACGCTCCAAGCGCGAGGGCTTTGAAGACATCAGTCCCACGGCGAACACCACCGTCTAAGAACACTGGAATCTTTCCTTGAGCTGCTTTAACAACCTGGAACCGGAAAAGTAGAATCATCAAGAGTAATTTCTAATAAGAAAACTTCATAAAGCTGGAAAAGAAGTTGATTTTTAGTTCTAATTAACCTCTTCAAGGGCTATGATTGTGGCTGGGACGTAATCAAGCTGACGAGCACCATGGTTAGACACGATGATACCGGCTGCTCCTGCTTGTACCGCCATCCTTGCTGCAGACAAAAAACAAGTAACATACACTTTTTGGGGAATTTTTCACAAAATGTAGACCAATAACCCATGTGACGTTAGTGAAGAAGATGAATGAGAGTTTTGTGTTGTCGCTTTTAGGGTTTTCTCACCATCCTCAGCTGTGAGAACACCTTTCACCAGAATAGGCAGCTTTGTGATTGTCTGAAGCCACTGCACATCCTGTATCATGTATCTCAAAGAGGATCAATCACAACAAGTTTTGTTTTATTGATCTGTAATAGTTTCCCAAATCATTGGTAATTACTGATTTACCTTCCAGCTCAAAGTACGATCAATTTGTCCAGCCACATAGGATGCTAGCCCTGAATCATTTGCCTGCAGAATTCACATAGCATGTTTAGGAAAGTGCCAAAACACATAGAAATTACATATGTGATCAATATGTTGTTACCTCATCCATCTTGCCAAGGTCAAGACCTTCAAAATTCTTCAAAGTCAAGTAAGGTGGCAATGTAAATCTGTTTTTGATATCAGATTCTCTGCGACCAAGCCTTGGTGTATCGACAGTGAGAGCGATTGCTTTGAAACCAGCTCTCTCTGCTCTTCTCACAAGCTGAGCCACCACGTTCCTGTCCTTGTAGACCTATAAAAACAACTGAATCTTGAACCTTCTTGATTTCATGAGAGAGCAATATAGCGTGCGATGGAGCTTACATAGAGCTGGAAAAAGCGGATTCCGGGTCCTGTTGAAGCAACCTCTTCAACGCTAGAAGTAGCCCATGAAGAGAGTGTCTGCAACAAAAGTTTTATGATGTCTCAACCTCAAAGTTGTGACTTTTCAGAGAAGAAATCAGAAAGGCTCAAAGTCACACCATGATAGTTCCTGCGGCGGATGCAGCTCTAGCCGTAGCATACTCACCTGAAGATAACAACAAACGTGAAGATGAGAAACTATCATGCTCTGTTATTTACTCTGTTCTGTTTCTTGAATTCTTACCCTCGGGATGAGCCATCTTTTGCATAGCAGTTGGAGCAACCATGATAGGCATAGATATCTTGAACCCCAAGACAGTTGTAGTCATATCAATCTTGCTAACATCAATCAGAATCCGAGGCCGAAACCTTGATGAGAAGAGAGAAAGAGACATGGTTTCGTTTGATCAGAGAGGCTTTCTTGATCAAAAAAAGACAATTGATTAGGGACTTAGGGTTAAATTTAATCAAAAGCTCACAAGATTCGAGAGAAAGCGTTTCGGTTCTCTTGAAGAGTCCACTGGTCTTCTGCACCAGAAGCATAGTAATCGAAAACCATCTTTGGTAACTTCTCCTTAGCGATGGCTTCATACTCGTTAACGTTAGTGATCTCCATCTCCTCTAATAATCTGATCGTCAACTCTTTAGCTAACCTCTTTTAAAAACCTGAGAGAAGAGAGAGAACAGAGCAAAGACAATATCAGTATATACATGTGTAAGGTCGAGGATCTGTGAGAGATTGAAAGCTCACCAAATTGAGGAATAGAAGAGACTTTCGGACTTGGACTAAAGCTGCTGGTAACAGAAACTATTTCATATAAGGGGAATTTTTCTGCATGAGGACAAAAACTCATTGGTGTGTATATACTACTTATGTATGTGAATAGGATGAGAAATTGGAGGTGGGGATTTGGAGAGGAAACAGAACCAATCGAATTAAGAGTGTTCTTATCCAAAACAAACCTTTTTTTTGTGTTGCTTAGTTTTATTCCTTTTTGATTATTATTTCTCACCCACATGAGAAAAGTAGAGACCCATTTGTTAATTTCTTTCTTTTAAAATTATGTGATGATTTTATGCATCATGTTTCCTTAATGTTGTAGCCTTTTAGGTATGGAAAAAAAATTACGAGCATGTTAATATATTTGTGTATCTCAGAGAAATGGTTTTTTTACAACAAAGAGATAAAGGGTGCGAGTTACTTGTGAACATTGGAGGCTTTTTTCTTTAAGCGACAACTTATCTTTGCAATCCGTGAATCACCTCTAGAAATATGATTTTGGTATTATACCAAAATCTCAAAAAGTATTTATAACATGTTATTGTTTATATTTCTGTTTACTTGAATGAGTTTAAACAGCTAGCTGCATGCTAATCAAAACCAACATTGAATTCTAACCGATATCACGTTGGATATCTTTGATGATGAATTGACAAACCAAATTATGATTGTTTTTGTTAATGAGTTTTCGAGTCAAAACTTAGAAAGAAGCAAAACTGTTTTTACAAGCCCGGTCCAGATTCATTTTGTGTAAGATAGCCCACATCACCATAACCAAAACAAAATTAAGATAGAACCAATAGTGAACCAGGAATTGACATATTTATAATGGATCTCTCTCGCTTTCGAGATCATTGTCGTCGAGCTTCTCGAGATCATGTGGTCACGTCAGTAGTAGAAAAACACTGACGTAACACAATCCCATCGAAATATCTCGACAACTCCCTCTATCAACGTGTACGTCTCTACCACCTGGCACCTTCTACCTATACTACTTTCTAGAATTTTAGCTCACTTTTCTAAATTCTTCTGTAATTTCTTGCACGTTTTTCGACTAATATTTTCAATATGATTTTTTTTTTTTTCCAATTATATCTATCTCTGGTAAATGACAATAGAATTGGCTGATATAAATTTAAGTGTTCACACAATTTAAAATTGTGTTAGTTCATCCGGTTCTGTTTTTACTTACAAATTACTTTTTCATCAATTTTTAACGGAATACTCTTTTTTTTTTTTTAATATCTTGTTTTAGAAATCCATTATTTTTTGGGTCACCCGAAATCCATAATTTTCTTTGACGAGCAAAATCCCAATTTGCTAGTTGCTACTGATAATAGAGTCCAAACTATATATTTTTTTTTTTCTTTTTCGTCATAGAGTCCAAATGAATATTTGCAAGTTAGCAGCCTCTAGTAGAATCCTATACTTAGTGCAAAAAGGAACTTTAAGCCAAACCTAATGCTTAAATGGTCCAAAGAAGGAAAAAAAAATAGCGAAAGTTAATAAAAAATATAATTATAAAATAATTACTTTAAAACCTGGCCACATGTTTTTAAACAATAAAGAGCAATAAAGAGTGGTGACGTAACGACTAGAGTCAGCAAAATCCATTTTCGTATCATAAATATTCTCATCTGTAAAACTGACCTAAAACCCTCACATAAGTGTCCAACAAACAAATCGAGAAACACGAACAGTTAAAAAAAAATTAATAGATCGTAACAATGGCGAACGAGGTGATTCTTCTTGATTTCTGGCCAAGTATGTTCGGGATGAGGACGAGGATCGCATTGAGGGAGAAAGGTGTTGAATTTGAGTACAGAGAAGAAGATCTAAGGAACAAGAGTCCTTTGCTTCTCCAGATGAATCCGATTCACAAGAAGATTCCGGTTCTCATCCACAATGGTAAACCGGTTAACGAATCTATCATTCAGGTTCAGTACATTGATGAGGTCTGGTCTCACAAGAACCCTATCCTTCCTTCTGATCCTTACCAGAGAGCTCAGGCTAGATTCTGGGCTGATTTCATTGACAAAAAGGTATCTAATTTCTTTGTGCCCTTGATTCAATAAATGTTGATTTTGAATTGGGGATTTCATAAAAATTGAAACTTTATTTGAGTTTGCAAGTGAAACGCTTAGAGAAATTAAGCCCAAATTTTAGGGGTTTTTTTATGCTTGTAGACTCATTTTTGAGCTTGTCAGGGTTTGTCTGATGTTGTTATGTCTGTAGGCTTATAGATCTCACTCCCAAGTTTTAGGGTTTTGCTTTGTAGACATCATCTTTGAGCTTTGTTTGGGTTCGTCTGAGTTCTGACATAGCTTAATGTTATGTTACTCTGTGCAATGTTTCAGCTGTATGATGCTCAGAGGAAGGTGTGGGCGACAAAGGGTGAAGAACAAGAGGCAGGCAAGAAGGACTTCATTGAGATACTCAAGACTCTTGAATCTGAGCTTGGAGACAAGCCTTACTTTGGTGGCGATGACTTTGGCTATGTAGACATTGCATTGATTGGATTCTACACCTGGTTTCCAGCATACGAGAAGTTTGCTAACTTCAGCATCGAATCAGAGGTTCCGAAACTGATCGCTTGGGTTAAGAAGTGTTTGCAGAGGGAGAGCGTGGCTAAGTCCTTGCCTGATCCTGAGAAGGTTACTGAGTTCGTCTCTGAGCTCAGGAAGAAGTTTGTACCTGAGTAAATCTGTTTCTCTTGTCATCTGGTTCGGATGCTCTCTGTTTTACTTTCCTATGATGTCGTTCTTAAATAATGCAGAGCATCTGTGAGGTTGTTTGTTTGGGTGTAGAGAATGTATCTCTTTGCTTTAGCAAATTCGTGTGTTTGCTTGAGTTTAAGGGTTTGTCCTTAGTTTGTATGGATCTTAAGTATGAGCTTAATTAATGATCGTTAATCTCTTGTGATTTTTACTTTGAAATGTAATTTTGTGCATACGTGAGGAGTGACACTTCTACCTGACCAATGGTGCAGATTGCCGATTAAACCTCCGGTATTGAGAATGATGGGCCGGTGTGGGCCTAATAAGCCCAAATTGGTATCCCTAAGTCCATATTGTAGTTGTAGTCAATTAAATGTTATTTGATGGATGTGATCATTATGTTGGTAATAATCAATCGAGTTTTATCCGATTTGCCACGGGTTTAGGGTTTCGCTTACCGAATTTGTAATTGGCAGATCAAATAGCTTTACTCTGATCTGCATAGTTCATGGGTTTTGAATTTGAATTTGAATTACGATTACAAAACGATATTAACACAAATAAGTACTATCCTGTAATTTTTGGGATCAATTTGTAAATTTTAAAATATTATTTTCAAAGGCTTTATATTTTATAAATAAACGTATACACATATATACAGTATATGAAATTAGAAATATACACAAAGATAAAGCATTACATTTCTATGTATTTGTAAATCTTATGATGATATTGATAAAATCAATCATGGTGTATATTTAATAGAGTGAAATACTCTCTCAATCAATTTGTAATCATTTTTTTTTTTTGGTCGGGTCAATTTGTAATCAATTAGTATTAGCTAATATCGCTCCTTGTGTAAATGCTTATCTCTTGTACATGGTAAGTAGCTTGTCCTTGTAAATGTCTGATATCAAATCAAGGGATCACGTGGTAAATGTACACCCACCTAACTGAGAGATAATAATACAAACAACTGTGAGTAGGTGACCACGCCAAAAGTAGAGTGATGCAGCAACTAAGCAAAGTATTACTAATTCACTTGATCGACTTTTTATCCCATAACTTAAATCGATTTCTATATTTGTCAAGTTTTGATTCCAGTCTAATCTCTTACATCTACGTTTAAGTTTTGAACCAGAACAAAAAGATAATCACACTCTTCTATATTAAGTGATGTTTTCACTAGTTGCACACATACATATTTAACAAAGTTGCAAAATACACTTTAACTCGTTAAGGGTAAAAGCTTTATATATGGACCGTATCCTTTTTAAAAAGCTGATGTGACGTAGCAGGAATCAAAATCCATTCCATGTCATTATTTTCCCCTATAAAACAACCGTCACTCGCACCTTCCTCTCTACTATAACACACACTCACTTGTTCACCACAAAAAAAAATTAAGAATCTATACCAATGGCGAATCTGCCGATTCTTTTGGATTACTGGCCGAGTATGTTCGGGATGAGGGCGAGAGTTGCGTTGCGAGAGAAAGGTGTTGAGTTCGAATACAGAGAGGAAGATTTCTCGAACAAAAGCGCTTTACTCCTCCAAAGTAATCCCATTCACAAGAAAATTCCGGTTCTGATCCACAACGGGAAACCGGTTTGTGAATCTCTTAACGTCGTCCAGTACGTTGACGAGGCCTGGCCCGAAAAGAACCCGTTCTTTCCTTCCGATCCTTACGGGAGAGCTCAGGCTCGATTTTGGGCCGATTTCGTGGACAAGAAGGTAACTAATCCCTTTTGTGCCCTAGATTTCTTAACTTGAGTTTGAAACAATGTTATTTAGGGTTGATCTAAAAATTGAGTTTTTGGATTCCTCTGACATAATTTGATATTCTGTAATGGAATTAAGTTCACCGACGCCCAATTCAAGATATGGGGGAAGAAAGGGGAGGAACAAGAAGCAGGAAAGAAGGAATTTATTGAGGCAGTGAAGATTCTTGAAACTGAGCTAGGAGATAAACCTTACTTTGGTGGAGATAGCTTTGGGTATGTAGACATTTCCTTGATTACATTCTCCAGCTGGTTCCAAGCCTATGAGAAGTTTGGTAACTTTAGCATCGAATCAGAGAGTCCGAAACTGATCGCTTGGGCAAAGAGGTGCATGGAGAAAGAGAGTGTGTCTAAGTCTCTCCCTGACTCTGAGAAGATTGTTGCATATGCTGCTGAGTATAGGAAAAACAATCTCTGATCTGAGTAATCTTGTTGCTCTCTTGTTGCTAAGCTGTGTTCTGTTTTTTTATCTTTGTTTTTTTCTTCCCCCTAATAATGCGAGAGAGCCTTAGTGACTGTGTGTTGTGGTTTGTATCCATCCTAAGTATGGAATTTAAATAAAATTTGTTTCGATGGTCGTATTCACCAAGTAGTTTAGTAGAATAACAACAGACACAAGAAAAAGTTGGACTTCTTTTGTTTAGTAGTATATAGTAATATAATACAGAGCAATCAATAAAGGAGGTGGCCACGTTACAATCATGCAAGAAGTAGTGGTAGAGGCTCTACAAAAGTAAGATTAAAAGAAATTTGGGTTCTCATTTCTCAACCAATTTTGGGAGGACATGGCACTCTCTTAGAGCATCTCCAACCAACCTCTATATTTGCCTCTAAACTCTATTTTATAGGCAAATTTACTCCAACCCACCTCTATTCCCACCTCTAAAATAAAGATCTCTATTTTTTGCTCTATATATAAAGGATGATATAGAGAATCTCTATTTTTTTCCCTATAAATAGAGTTAAATTTTATAGAAAAAAAAATAGAGGAACACATTGGAGTAAAAATAGAGAAAACTCACCTCTATTATAGAAAACTAAAAATAAAGAAATACATTGGAGATGGTCTTAAACTCCCCTAAAAAGTAAAAACACCTCTAATCCATTATCACTATTATTAGGATTTATTTTTTTTTTCTTTTTATTTTTCTTAAGAGATTATAGCATACTGATCACTAACATAAAAGCTGGTCAGTTCCCTTACTTTGAGGCTTTGAGTGGAGACTCCACTACGGTGTGGCTCACCTACAACTTTTCTCTAATTATCTTTTCGTCACACTATTCAACCACCAAATTAACCCTATCATTTACAAGTGTGTTCTGTTGTTTTATTAATCAACAATACAATTCTATTCTACACACGTCATTCAATTGCTAGAAAAAAACTAGTTAAAGTTTGAGTTTCATATCCGTATAGCATTACTGTAGTCACCATTCATAAGTTGTACGAACTAAGAAGAAGCAAAGAGGAGATGTTGTATTATTCATCACCAAAAAGAAACATTTGTAAACCTTGATTTACACTCTGATCCAATTTTTTGAAAGGATACTTTTGATTAATTCTAACCAGCCGCATATAATTATTGATTTTTATTTTTTATTTTTTCTGTTCTGTTTAGCTCTTTGTTGTGTTGTGTTTTGTCGTTCCTGATAGTGCAGAGTATTTTGTAATTAGTTAGGTGGAGTCTTGTTCTGAAAATCGGATGCTCTGTTTCGACTAAACTTTGAACCATCACTAGGAAATGCTAAACTTCTCTGTCATGACTACTCTACTAGACAAAAATTGTGATTTTTCTCTCGGCAAAAAGATTGTAAATGCATCAATAAAATATTTTAAAACCTTGATTTATCAGACTACTGTTTTTTCCAAAGGTAACGTATCAAACTACTCTGTTAAAATATGTATGGTTTCTCTAACCAGCCGCATATAGTATCTCATATCTTAATACACCAGTAGGCAGTAGCATTATTATAAAGAAATTATAAATTATCACACTTTGATTTTATTAAAACGGTTTAATAGGGTTGGCCAAAAACATTTAATAAATGACATGTTACCCCCTTATAAACAGCCTAAAGACGCTACACATTTAATAAGAGACCACTCAAGAAAGAAAAGCTTCACGGATCGCAACAATGGCAGAGGAAGTGATCCTTCTGAATTTCTGGCCGAGCATGTTCGGAATGAGAACGATGATCGCGTTAGAGGAGAAAGGAGTGAACTATGAGTATAGAGAAGAGGATGTGATCAATAACAAGAGTCCCTTGCTTCTAGAGATGAATCCGATTCACAAAAAGATCCCGGTACTCATCCACAATGGTAAACCGGTTTGTGAATCCATCATCCAAATCCAATACATAGACGAAGTCTGGTCCGACAAGAACCCATTCCTCCCTACGGATTCCTACCAAAGAGCTCAAGCCTTATTTTGGGCCGATTTCATCGAAAAGAAGGTAACAACAAGTACTGTCTATAAATTTTAGTGTCCTTTGGCTCTAAATTTTTTGTGAGATCCTTATTCATTGTTAAGTTATATGGATTTGCAACTACAAATCAATTGGTATATAAAAAGTGAATTTTATCTCTCTTATAAAGTGAAATTCTTAACGGTATATAATATAGCCCTATTATAGTATTAAATTTGCAATTGAAAGATTTCAGATCAAATTCTAGGGTTTTGCTTGTAACTCATGTGTGCGTATATTCCTTGTGTCACAATGATCAGTTGTTTGTTTGTGGGAGAAAGACTTGGGCAACCAAAGGTGAGGAGCTTGAAGCAGCCACAAAGGAGTATATTGAAATACTCAAGACACTTCAATGTGAGCTAGGAGATAAACCTTACTTTGGTGGCGATAAATTCGGGTTTGTAGACATTGTCCTGATTGGATACTACAGTTGGTTTCCAGCATACCAGAAGTTTGGTAACTTCAGCATCGAACCCGAGTGCTCAAAACTGATGGCTTGGGGCAAAAGGTGTATGCAAAGAGCGAGTGTGGCTAAGGCTTTGCCTGATTCAGAGAGAGTTGTTGGATACGTTTTACAGCTTAAGAAGTTTTATGGAATTAAGTAAGAGAAGATGTCTTCTTCTTTTTTTCTCAAACCAAAAAAGAAAGAAAGAAGAAGGTCTCTTTAATTGCCATTTTATGTCCTGTTTAGCTATACATCAACGTTTTATAAAAAGCATCGACTCTTTTACCGTTTGGTTTGTGAATTCTGCTTTGGTTTTTTTTTTTTTTTTCATCATTCTACTTTGGTTTTTGTTAAGATGCTCTATTTGCTCTGCTTTATTGTGTTCTGTTTCCTTTAAGGGTCTATATGTTTTCTGGATTGTTGTCAGTAACGGATGTTGTTTCTTGCCACTCAAGAATATGATTCATAGATTTAAAAGTACTCCATTTATTTTGTTTTACTTTGGAAAGAAAAACAAACAAAAAACAAGTTTTTGCTGTGATCAAGTTAGTAAGTAGTACCATACACTCTGCCATTTGAATTCACTGGTGTATGTATGTTTGTGTGTGGAAAACAAAATTAAATAGAAAATTTTATGTTTTGAGTTGAAAATTGTATGATTAAGCAAAGAGGGATTAGTGTCGTTTATTTTTTATTAACATAAAAACAAGACATATAAGCATAATGACGTAAGCAGTGGCCTGAGCATTTTTTAAAAAACATATCGAATTCATCAATAATATTGAGTTGACTTGTTTAACGTTCACACCTTGCTTGCTACCGTGTCTTAGCTTCTAAGTTTCAATTAATTTTTCTTTTTTTTTTTGTTCACAGTCAATAATAATAATCAATACATCAGCAGCGCATACAAATTTCTTATAAAGAATCAGCGATTGCAGTATAGAAAATGTTTAAGCAAAATCAATCAAAGAAGAGATCATTCTTCACAATAATGGCGGATGAAGTGATCCTCCTGGATTTCTGGCCGAGTCCATTCGGAGTAAGAGCAAGAATCGCGCTGAGAGAGAAAGGAGTTGAGTTTGAGTACAGAGAAGAGAATCTGAGAGACAAGAGCCCTTTGCTTCTCCAGATGAATCCGGTTTACAAGAAGATTCCGGTTCTCATCCACAATGGTAAACCAGTTTGTGAATCCATGAACGTTGTTCAGTACATCGACGAGGTTTGGTCCGACAAAAACCCTATCCTCCCTTCCGATCCTTACCAGAGAGCTCAAGCCAGATTCTGGGTAGATTTCGTCGACACCAAGGTACCAAATCCAAAATCTCTGTTTAGGGTTTTGTTTGTAGACTCATAATTGAAAATGGTTTTGGGTTTGATCTGTGAAATGGTGCAGTTGTACGAGCCAGCAGATAAGATCTGGCAAACTAAAGGCGAGGAACAAGAGACAGCCAAGAAAGAGTATATTGAAGCACTTAAGACTCTTGAATCTGAGCTTGGAGACAAACCTTACTTTGGTGGAGATACATTTGGGTTCGTAGATATTGCCATGACTGGATATTACAGCTGGTTCGAAGCATCAGAGAAATTAGCTAACTTCAGCATCGAACCAGAGTGTCCGACACTGATGGCTTCGGCTAAGCGGTGTTTGCAGAGAGAAAGCGTGGTTAAGTCTCTTCATGATTCTGAGAAGATCCTTGCGTTTGCCTATAAGATTAGGAAGATATACTGTGTCTAAAAGTCTTATTGATTCCATCTCAAGTTTCTATGCCCTATATTTTCTTTAAAGTTTATTATGTCTCCTGTGAGTACTGTCTCTTTCTTTTCTTTTCACGATTGAATATTTGTTTCTTGTCACACAAGAATATGGTTCCTCTATTTTGTAGAGGTCTACAGTGTTGTACTTAGGCTGATATATGCCTTAAACAACAAACTTAAAAAGTGTGATCCTTGTTAAAACTATGTCTCAAAAATAGTGATAATGAAAAGTTTTCATGGATGAAAATGTTGTCCAATAATTGTTAATTTTATTGTGCCTATAGGCAAATGCCTTATTCTAAAGTAGGTCCATCTATTCTTATCTTTTGTAAAAAGCTGATTGAAATGGAGAATTAGATTCGAAACTCTTCTTTATCTTGGCTCTATAATAACAATATTCTCTTCCCCACTTAGCTTCACCGCCAGCTAAAAATGGCGGAAGAGATTATCCTATTGGATTACTGGGCGAGTATGTTCGGGATGAGGACAAGGATTGCTCTGGAGGAGAAAGGAGTGAAATATGAGTATAGAGAAGAAGATCTGAGTAACAAAAGCCCTTTACTTCTTGAGATGAACCCTATTCACAAAAAGATTCCGGTTTTGATTCATAAAGGTAAACCGATCTGCGAATCGATAATCCAAGTTCAGTATATCGACGAGCTCTGGCCCGACACAAACCCGATTCTTCCTTCGGATCCTTACCAGAGAGCTCAAGCTAGATTTTGGGCAGATTACATTGACAAGAAGGTTACATTTCTCTTTTATGTTATTTAAGTGCTTTATACTATAATCCCTCAAATGTATAAATAAGTACGTAACGGATGATGTTTTGGACAAAACTGTGATCAGACATACGTACCATGCAAGTCTTTATGGTCAGAAACAGGGGAGAAACAAGAGGCAGCGAAGATGGAGTTCATTGAAGTACTCAAGACACTTGATTCAGAGCTTGGAGACAAATCTTTCTTTGGAGGAAACGAATTTGGACTTGTGGACATTGCCTTTATCGGATTCTATAGTTGGTTCCGTACTTACGAGGAGGTAGCAAATCTTCTTACCATTGTAGAAAAGTTTCCTAAGCTAATCTCGTGGGCACAGAGGTGCTTGAAGAGAGAGAGTGTGGCTAAGACCTTGCCTGACTCTGATAAGGTTCTTAAATCTATCTCTGACCATCGGAAGACAGTTTTAGGAATCGATTAAATTCATGTATAGAAGAATTTCCTCTGTTTTTATTTTCTAGTTTAAAATGTGGTGTGTATTTCAGGTTTTTCAATAAGTCGGGTATAGACCGATGTATGACTGGCAATAAATATGCTCACAACAAGACCCTCAAGAATAGAATTGCCTTCAAACCCAAGTTCACGCGCAATAGACACGATAGGGCCATTCATCACTCTGCAAGAACCAACTGGCAACTGATATTATAAGTAGTAAGCTTCCGAAAAAGTAATCCATATAATTGATATCAACCTGACTAACTCATATTCTTCTCACTGGAAGCTAACGACATGACAAGATGGGGACAGATCAACACTCTGTTACTCTGTAAAAACAACCTAATCAACATCATTGTAATATGTAAGCTAAGCCCTCCAGAGTGATTGCTCTTAGGACTTTCACCCCACCTCAAGGCTCAAACTGGAGCTGTTAACACAACAAAGCATTACACTATTACACGAACAGATATTAATATCCTTGTACAGAAATCAAACTAGGCCAGTGAAACAAAAAAACATGGATTGTTTCTACAAAGGCACAAATTTGGCGAGACAGATACTTAAACTTGAAAGAAGATGCAATGTGATAACCAAAGAGAAAATTGTCCATAGAAGCAACTGATACATGAGGAAAAGCCGATAACTGGCGTAACCCGATTCTTCCTCTTCGGAGACCGAAAGAAGCGGGAAAAGGGAGAGGCTTTACGAGAGTGGGTGAGTCGGGTCGGGTAAGAAAAGGTTAATCGGGTCAGAGCATTGGGTTGATGTAGAAGTACGGTATTCGTCACCCACATGATCGGAGAGCTAGACTAGACGGAAGGAGAGAAATACGTCGGAGAAGCGAATGAGGAGAGAAAAAGGAAATTGAAGAAAACGAAATTAACTTGTAATCACGTGACTGTCACGTGCTCAAAAGGATATTTCCTTTTTGTTTTTGCGTCCAATTATATAAAAAGGCAATATTTGACCTTGATTTCCTTTTCGTTTTATTTTTAAAAGAAATTTCCTTTACTTTCAGTCATAACCTTTCATTATAAATATACTAATCTCTCTTCTTAACAATCGAAGTTGGCATTCGTCCAAGAGCAAAACCCTTAATAAGTGCTCTTTCTTCTTCTTCTTCTTTTAAAAACTTGAGTTTCTTCTCGAGCAAGTTATGTCGATTGAAGCCGTCATGAATCTCGTTCTCGCTGTGGGAATTACTCGCTGGGTTCGTATCTCTTCGGATTTTCCTCCGACCAAGTTTTAGTCGATCATTAGAGAGGGCAAAGAGATGTTTAAAGGTGAATCTGGGATTATAAGTTAGGGTTTCAGGGTTACGGTGATGAAGTTGTGGCCGAGATATGGGAGAACACGACGGAAATTGACAACGATCGAGATGAAGGAAAATACTTCGTCGGAGATTATTTGTGATAATGTCACACAACGGCTATTTTGGATGACATCATACAAGGGCTATTTTGGAATTTGGTTGAGTTTGGAGTACGAAGGACTACGGTGAAGATTCGTGAGATGACTGAGAGAAGACGCCATCGAGAGGTATCAGTTAAGGAAAAGAGTCTCGCGTTACATCAGTTCCAGTACGATTTCAGGTTAATTTCTTTTCCCTTTTAAATTCAAAATTAAGTTTTTGAATTTTCACTTTTTTTCTTTCTACGGCTTTTTTTTTGTTTAATTTGTTTTTTAAGACTAGATTTACAAAACGATATGAAAAACTAACCGGACTTTGGATCTCGTCATTTGACCTAGTCATTTGATCGTTAGCGATTTCATAAGTTCAATTTGTTTTCTAATCGTTATGTAAATTTAGCATTTTTTTTGTTTTAAACTAGATTTACAATACGATATGAAAACTAACCGGACTTTGGATCCTGTCATTTGACCTAGTCATTTGATCGTTAGCGATTTCACAAGTTCAATTTGTTTTCTAATCGTTATGTAAATTTAGCATTTTTTTTTGTTTTAAACTAGATTTACAATACGATATGAAAACTAACCGGACTTTGGATCCCGTCATTTGACCTAGTCATTTGATCGTTAGCGATTTCACAAGTTCAATTTGTTTTCTAATCGTTATGTAAATTTAGCATTTTTTTTTTGTTTTAAACTAGATTTACAATACGATATTAAAACTAACCGGACTTTGGATCCCGTCATTTGACCTAGTCATTTGATCGTTAGCGATTTCACAAGTTCAATTTGTTTTCTAATCGTTATGTAAATTTAGCATTTTTTTTTTGTTTTAAACTAGATTTACAAATTCTAGGGTTAATTGCTTGTAACTCATGTGTGCGTATATTCTTTGTGTCACAATGATCAGCTGTTTGTTTGTGGGAGAAAGACTTGGGCAACCAAAGGTGAAGAGCTAGAAGCAGCCACAAAGGAGTATATTGAAATACTCAAGACTCTTCAAGCTGAGTTAGGAGATAAACCTTACTTTGGTGGCGATAAATTTGGGTTTGTAGACACTGTCCTGATTGGATACTATAGTTGGTTTCCAGCATACCAAAAGTTTGGGAACTTCAGCATCGAACCAGAGTGCTCAAAACTGATGGCCTGGGGCAAAAGGTGTATGCAAAGAGAGAGAGTGGCTAAGGCTTTGCCTAATTCTGAGAAAGTTGTTGGATACGTTTTAGAGCTTAAGAAGTTATATGGAATCGAGTAAGAGAAGATCTCTTTAAATTGCCGTTTTATGTTTTGTTTAGCTATTGTGTGTTTCTTCTAATAATGAAATAGAGTCTTGTTCGAAAATTCGGATGCTTTGTTTTGTTTAAATTCGATGTTTGGTCTGAATTCAATGCATATAGATGTATCAACTTTTGTATCATCATTTTTTCTTAGACCTTCATCGTCGTCGCTAACCACTACATCCTTGCATTCGCCTATAAGATTAGGAAGATATAAAAAAGACCTTCATCGTCGTCGCTAACCACTACATCCTTGCATTCGCCTATAAGATTAGGAAGATATAATGTGTCTAAAAGTCTTACTGATTCTATCTCACGTCTCTATGTTCACTGGTTTTTTTAAGTTTATCTGTGCCTTCTATGGATATTGTCCCTTTCTTTCAATTTTCACCAAATATTATTTATTTCTTGTCACTCACGAAATGGTTCCTTTATTTTGAAGAGGTCTATAGTGTTGTGCTTAGGCTCATAGATGCTTGTTATAAAAAGTTTTTTAAAAAGTTTGGTGCTTGTAAAACTGAAAACAAAAAAGACATAACATTGTCTCAAAACGTATCAAGTATCTATATCATGCATTAATCAAACAAAAATCCCAAACACATAATATCAACTCAACAATAAGCCTAATTTTGATCAAAATGTTGTCCAATAAGTGTTCGTTTTATTGTGGCTACAGGCAATTGCCTTTTTTCCAAAGCAGGTCCACTTATTCTCATCTTTTGTAAAAAAGTTGATTGAAATGGAGATTAGATACGAAACTCTTCTTTATCTTGGCTCTATAATAACAATTCTCTCTTCCTCACCGAGCTTCACCGCCAGCTAAAAATGGCGGAAGAGATTATCCTATTAGATTACTGGGCGAGTATGTTTGGGATGAGGACAAGGATTGCTTTGGAGGAGAAAGGAGTGAAATATGAGTATAGAGAAGAAGATCTGAGTAACAAAAGCACTTTACTTCTTGAGATGAACCCTATTCATAAAAAGATCCCGGTTTTGATCCATAAAGGTAAACCAATCTGTGAATCGATAATCCAAGTTCAGTATATCGACGAGCTCTGGCCCGATACAAACCCGATTCTTCCTTCGGATCCTTACCAGAGAGCTCAAGTTAGATTTTGGGCAGATTACATCGACAAGAAGGTTACATTTTCTCTTTTACGTTATTTAAGTACTTTGCAGTTTGCACTATAATCTTATTAAATGTATAAGCACGAACGAATGATGTTTTGGACAATCTGTGATCAGACATACGTACCATGCAAGGCTTTATGGTCAGAAACAGGGGAGAAACAAGAGGCAGCGAAGATGGAGTTCATTGAAGTACTCAAGAGTCAAGACACTTGATTCAGAGCTTGGAGACAATCCTTTCTTTGGAGGAAACGAATTTGGACATGTGGACATTTCCATTATCGGATTCTATATAGTTGGTTCCGGATGTACGAGGAGGTAGCAAATCTCAGCATCGTAGCAAAGTTTCCTAAGCTAATCTCGTGGGCACAGAGGTCTTTGAAGAGAGAGAGTGTAGCTAAAGCCTTGCCTGACTCTGATGAAGTTCTTAAGTCGGTCTCTGATCATCGGAAGATAGTTTTAGGAATCGATTAGATTGATGTGTGCATGTGTTTCAGGTTTGTCAATAAGTCGGGTATAGACCAATGAATGTTTGTGGTGGGATTTGAGTGACGCATAAGTTAGATTATGTTGTGGGTGATAATAGATTATCATTTGTATTAGTGTAAAGTAAAAACGAAAGGTTGTTTTGTAATACTGATGTAACGTTCATCGTCATTTCTCTACCATTTTAATTTTTGATTTGAAACCAAACTAATCAAAAACAGAAATTCAAACCACTCTTCGTTGGATAAAGGACGACGAAATTTTTATTTGTCGCCAACGTTAACGTCGTTGAAAGCAAAATTTGGAAATATTTGTCAAACAGTGTCACAGAGAGTACAAAAAAAAAAAGAGCAATGCAACAAGAGAGTACGTTTACATGGAGACTTGGTACTATTATGATTCTTTAAGTATACGAATGAACCCCTCATTATGTGTTACCTTTATCCAGTAACCTTTTTCTTTTTTTGGTTCTACAGACTATCCACTATCCAGGTTCAAAAATAATGCGCAAAAACATATTTTTCATCGTAGATAACAAATAAAACGTTACATTTCTTCATTGTACCACGCAAGAATAATTTAGAATCCATTACCAATACCAGGAAGAAGAAATTTGAAAAGCAAATGGTTAGTAGATTGTTTTTTCTTTTATACGAATTAGGCCTTGGCTAACGGTTCGAACCGATTAAACCGAACCGACCGAACCGAGGAATTCGGTTATCGGTTTCAATTCGGCAGAGAGACAAGAACCGATCGGCGGATTTCTAAATTTATTTCGGGTATCGTTCGGTTCGGTTCGGCAAACGATAACCGAACGGTTTATTAAAAACCGTAGTATATAAGACTAGCATTTGTCACAAACCCTAAAACACGAGCCTCCTTCGTTTTCATTCACGACTTATCTCTCTCTGTCTCTCGAACCCAAGGAACTCCTTCATCTCATCTTAACCTCGTCAATTTCTTCTTCGATTTGTCATTCATCTCAAGGATCTATCAAAATCATCCGTAAATTCTCGTCAAAATTTGTCAGTCTCGACTTCCTCTCGATCCGAAGAGATCTCGAATCAGTAAGTTCTTCTCTCTTACGAGTTGGGGGTTTATTTTATCTGTATTGGGGGGTTTGATTTTCGTTTTGTGGGTTTCATATTTGATTCTTCAAAACCCTAATTTTTCAAAACCCTAATTTTTCAAAACCCTAATTTTTATTTTCGATTTGGGGTTCATTTAGCTTGTATATTGTTCTCTGTTTTTGATTTGGGGGTTTGAATTTTGAGTTGGTGTTTGTATCTGAAAACCCTAATTTACTAATTCATAAAAACCCTAAATTTCAATTTGATGCATGTCGTTTATCTATTGTTGTCTGTTTTTGATGCATGTTTTATATGTCTATTTTGTAGATGGCTTCTGAAGATGAGATTGACATCGACGTTGAACCAGAATCTGTTCCGGAATCTGTTAAGACTAGAAAAAGGTCATCTTCGTCAACTGCTATGCCACTAAAACCGAAGAAGAAATATGCTAAAAGGGCACCAGTCTGGCAACATTTTGTCCTCAAAGAAGGTGATGACTTACATAGCATCTGTAAGTATTGTAGAGCTGAAATAGGATGTGATACGAAATTGGTAGGCACTAGTCCGATGATTAGTCATATAGAGAGGTGCAAGTCATTCAAGGAATATGATGAAAGGGATAAACAACAGAAGTTAAGTGGTGTTGATGGTGGCAATATGAAAGTGGTTAGGTATGATCCTCTTTCGTTTAGGAGAGCAGTCAATACATTGGTGGTAGTCAATGAGCTGCCTTTCTCTTTTGTTGAATCAGAGGGGTGGAAGGATTTTTGTGGCTTAATGTTGCCTATGTACAATACATTTTCAAGAAGAACATGCACAAGAGATATTGCTGCCATGTATTTGCAAGAGAAGGCTGCACTTAAGCGTCTGTTTAGTGTAGAGAAGAAGAGAGTTTCACTGACCACAGACATATGGGTGTCTCCTACAACATCCTACAACTACATGGTCGTGACTGGTCATTGGATTGATGCCAATTGGCGCATGCAGGAAAGATATCTCAGCTTTAAGGTGATCACGGACCACAAAGGAGACACAATAGCTGGACAGCTTCTTGACTGCATAGATGAGTGGGGAATTGAGAAGGTATTCACTGTGACTGTTGATAATGCAAAGGGTAATGACAAGGCTCGTAGGGTAATTACAGAAGCATTGAGGCTGAGAGGACCAGAAGCTTTAGTTCAAGATGGTGATTTAATGCACATGAGATGTTGTGCTCACATCTTGAACCTTATTGTGGGGGATGGTCTTAAAAAGGCCAAGACTAGCATTGTGGCTATTAGGAATGCAGTGAAGTATGTGCGCAGTAACTTCCAGAGGTTGAAGTCTTTTGTTCTGCGGTGTGAGACAGGAAAGATAGCTAGAGGAAGCTTGCCTCTAGATGTTGTTACAAGGTGGAATTCAACTTATCTTATGTTGACTTCTGCCATTAAGTTAAGACCAGCCTTTGAGAAGATGTCTGCTGAGGATAAGTTGTATTGTGAGTACTTTGAGGAAGAAGAAGAGAAGACTAAGACAAAGAGAATCGGACCACTAACCTCCACTCAATGGGATGAAGTAGAGAGGTTAGTGAAATTTCTAAAGATCTTTTACAAGAGTACTTTGGTATTTTCAGCTTCAACATCAGTAGTTTCTACACTATGTTACAATGAGATTGTGAATATAGAGAAGAATTTGATCGGTAAGTGTGGTCATAGGACTAAAGAGGTTAGAGATCAAGCATTTCTGATGAGGGATAAGTTTGAGAAATATTGGGATGGGTTGCTGAATATGAATGAGCTTATGATCATTGGTTCTGTATTTGATCCAAGAAACAAGATGCAATTTGCTGACTTGTGCTTTGAACAGTTGTATGGTAAGAACACTATAGAGACTAGGCAGTTACATGCTTCTGTTACAAATGCAATGAAAGATTTATATGCGGAGTATAGCATCCGATTAAGCAAACCAGATGTTACTGATGGAGGTGAAAATCAAAGTGGTCCTCGAGATTCTGAGCAGCAAAGTACTACGTGTGATTTGTCAGATGATGAAGATGATGTGATGTATGAGGGAGCTGATGTAATTTTCCATAAGCAGGTTAGGGAAAGGAGCAATGTAGAAGGTTTTAGTGAGCTAGATATATATTTGGCAGAAAAACCAGAGTTGAAAGTGGCTAATCCTTTGGGGTTACCTTATGACGTTCTGCATTGGTGGAAGTGTAATAGCTCCAAATTCCCAATATTATCAGAAGTTGCTAAAGATGTCTTAGCACTACAAGTCTCATCAGTTGCCTCAGAATCTGCCTTTAGTACTACTGGCAGAATCTTAGATCCTTATAGGAGTTCTTTAACACCTTACATGATAGAGGTGCTGCTGTGTACACAACAATGGCTGCGGTGTAAATTTAAATCTCAAGCACAAGTTGAAAACTTAGTGCAAATGTTAGAAGAAGTTGTGTTTTTCGAGACGCTTGGTAAGTATCAAAGTATCCTTCTTATTTGTTATTACTACTTGACTACTTGTAATGTATTGCAAACTAACAATTGATGTTTTTTTGTATAGATTCAAGGAACAATCTTGCTTCTTCTCAGCCTACTTTTTCTCAGCCTCCGTTATCAACCGATATTGACATGGATGGAAAGGTAATATTATTGGCTCATTTGAATGTTTTCTAAATGCTATGACTTATGATTGTTTTGTTTGTCATTTGTGAATGCAGTAGCAAAGATTCATGGAACTAGCTGCATCAATGAGCCAATGACTCCTATAAGTGTCTTTCTTTATGCTCTATTTTGCTTCCATCTTTGAATCAGACTTTTAACGTGGAAGTTTCTGTTTTGTTGATTCAGACTTTTAATGTAGACTTTTATTGCCTAGACTTTAAACTGGTTTGTAATGATTTTTGTTGTGACATTTGGTGTCAAACTGGTTTGTAACAAGTGTCAGGTTGTTTTGCATGGGTCAAATGGTCTAGTTTGGTTTAAATTAACCGAAATAGAATTTAATCGGTTTAATTTCGGAATAGATTTCAAACTTAATAACCGAACCGAAATAACCGATAACCGAACCGACCGAACCGAAGTTTTAATCGGGTAGTTTCTGAGGGTTTTTAAATCGCCGAACAACATGAGAAACCGAATAAACTGAACCGAAAAACCTGAAAAAACCGGACGCCAGGCCTAAATTACGAATCAAAAGGATAGTAGAAATTACGACGTATGGATCAAATTAAGATTCCAAATTTATATGTATGAATTATCATAAGCATATAAGACTTTCTGCCGTCAGTTGTTGGGTAAAATGAAACAACCAACACTTTATCTTTTGTTAAAATTCATAAATTCTACAAAACCTGACAAGTTTATTCCAAAGTAAGAGGTGACCAAATATTATAAATAAAAATGACCAACGGGATTGATCGAGTCAAATAATTTCCTTTGAATCGTGTGATCTTGTTCATATAGTTTGCTTTATGATATTTGCTTCAAGGAATCTGATATATATAATATCGTTCTGTCTACCTTTGAATCTTGTAAAACTCATGAAATCATACGTATTTAATAAAACAAAAATTTTAAAGATGAATATGCATGTAGTTGTATCAAATCCTCGGAAATATAACAACTCCGCATAGTAATTACTCGAATAGGTTTTGGTCACAGAAAACTTAGAAAATCTACTGTTACGAAATAACGTTCCCAATTAAAATACGTTAAAACCAATTTATTGAATGATACGTTTCAGTGTAAGCTAACTAAAGGCTTTACCAATGCAAGAATATTTCAAACATTATTCCATAATTTTATTGTAACAAAAAAGAATATTTCAAACATTCCTATTCTCAAAAATTTGACATTTGGCCAACCATCTCCATATCATGCTAATCAATAGAGACCAAATTCAACTCAATTACTATATGATTAATCACATCTAGTAATCAGACATTAACAGTGTAACTAATATTTCTCCGAAAGAAAAAAAAATGGTTGAAAGTCACGTGATAGCTGTCTATCTCGTGCTAATCTCACAGCCGTTGGATAAGTCGTTTGCTGAGTTGGATCGGAGATTTCTGTGGAGTGCGAAGTATGGGATAACTACCCATTAGATTAAAAAGCTGTACGAATGTCGTTTTCGGTAATACTTTTGGGGCTTTTGACCAAAATGGGCGTTGAATAACCCGACCCGTTAACCCAATGTATTTGTTTTGTTTATATATTATTTCATTGTTGAGCTTATTATTTGTATTTTGTATAGCATAGACAAATCTTTTTTCGGGCAAGAAAAGAATTACAGATGTTGTCTTTTTTTTGTGTGGTAATTTGTTTTCAGGAATAATAGAAATTTGCAGATTTTTGTAATGTAAAATTGTGTGGCAAAATTGATTTAGCATTTTGGTTTGAATTTACACACTATAGACTAGATAAACTGAAAATTAAATTACTCTTGACAAAAAGTTATATGAACAAAACCATTTGTGAACCATGATTATTTTAGCGAACTGTTTATCAAATTTTTATCATCATTCCTATAGATGAAAATACATTTTTTTAATAATTATGAAAAATGAACACTAGTCAGAATCTCTGAATATTCTCCTCTCAACACTTCAGTTTATTTATTTGTTTTCTATTTGCTTTATTTAAAAACGGAAATAAAGAAACAAAACTTCAAAAGAAGAGATATTTTCCATGTATATACAGCCTTTTTTTGGATATGGATGATGTTTTCCATGTATATACAACTACAAGTATAGCATAAATTACAACTCACAACATCTAATTTTTTTCTTAATAAACAGTTACCACCGAACTAAATGCAGTAAACAATATAAGGGATTATACAATTACAAATTGGTCAGGAATAGAGAATATTAAAAGGTACATGTTCATACATATAAACACGCATTAAATATTAATTAATCAGAGCATTATATGGAGAGAATCCATAGATAACATACAGACAAATTATTTCCTTTTCATCTTATTCTAGAAAAATCCAATTAAAGCTACTTATTTAGTCGTATAGCCTATAGTTTATATAAAAAAAAACATTTATTTTATTTATAAAAGAAAGAGAAAAAAAAAAAGAGCCATTTTCATCAGCTTCGTCTTCTCCATTATCTCTCTACCAAATCTGGCAGAGAAAAACAAAAAAAAAAAAACCGAAGAAGAAGAAAAACTTCGATTTAAGAAGATAATAGCGAAAGGAGACTCAATATGGATAAGAGCTGTAACTCCTCCGGCGATTCCTCCGCCGTATCCGCCTCCGCAACGAGTAGTACCGGTAACAATACAACGAACAGAGATCATTATCTGAGACAACTCAATAAGCTTTCTCATAAAATATCAAAACCGACAAACTCCTCCTCCTCCGTCTCCGCCGTGAATCGTGAAATTGATCTTCCTCCACCGCCGCCGTTAATTAATCAAGGGAATCTCCACCAACATCAACCTCCTGTTTACAATATCAACAAGAACGATTTCAGAGATGTTGTTCAGAAACTGACAGGCTCACCTGCACATGAACGGATCTCTGCTCCGCCGCAACAACCGATTCATCACCCTAAGCCTCAACAGAGTTCGCGTCTACATAGGATTCGTCCTCCTCCGTTGGCTCATGTTATCAATCGTCCTCCTGGTTTGCTAAATGACGCACTCATCCCTCAAGGTTCTCATCACATGAATCAAAACTGGACCGGCGTTGGATTTAACCTTCGACCAACGGCGCCGCTTTCTCCTCTCCCGCCGTTACCTCCGGTTCACGCGGCGGCGGAATCTCCGGTCTCTTCGTACATGCGGTATCTTCAGAACTCGATGTTCGCAATCGATTCGAATCGGAAAGAGTTCTCTGGATTATCTCCGTTAGCTCCTTTGGTCTCTCCTCGTTGGTACCAACAACAACAACAGGAAAACGCTCCGCCTTCGCAGCAAAACAGTCTTCCACCGCCACATCCTCCTCCTCCTTCCGCCGCTGTTTTGCAGACGGCGCCGACATCGATTCCGGCGCCTCCACCGTTTGGATGTTTGAATTCGCCTAAATCTCCGTACGGATTACTCTCTCCGAGCATACTTCTATCGCCAGCGTCCGGTCAGTTAGGGTTCCCGGTATCTCCGACGACGGTGCCGCTTCCTAGCCCTAAATACAAAGGTCATTGATCAGAAAACCTCTTGTCGGTCAAAGTGAAAGACGTCGTCGTTTTGACCGTCACGACAAAATTCCCTTTGTTCTTTTTGTACATCATTAGTGGAGTGGTGGGATCATTTGTTTTTTTTTTGTTAATTAACTCAAAAATTACTTAAAATCCGTTTTTTTTTTTGTACTTTCTTTTGTTCTATGTTTGTTCATGTTAGAAACAAAGACTAGGAAAAAGAAACGAATACACTTTTGCAACTCTATTGAATTCTCTTATAAGTTTGCAATTATCATTTGTTGAATCATCATCTCTTTGTAGATCAAATTGCATAAGACAGTTTTTTCTTTATTCTCCGTCTATTGGATTGGATGGGATATTAAATTGGTGATTAGCTATATACCAATCACTTCACTGTTCCTTTGGTTGAAATTTATGCTCCGATGCTTTCATTTTCAGTTGAAACTTCAAACTCTGACGAGATCGTTAATTTAAACCTGTCAAAGTGTACTGACTAACGAGTGCCTATAATTAAATAAATACAAGTTCTTTTGAAAGGTATTTTTTTATATAATCAAATTGATGATTGATTTCAGACCCCTTGACAGGTAAAGTAAAATTCGCTTTACGCAGTCCAATAAACTAGTCCCCTTTAAAAATTGACAACAAACAATCTAAGCAACAAGATAAGAGACGAGAGACTTTATGATCTTCAAATTGATGAGAAAACAAAGCAAGGTTCGATTGCATAGACACTGAAATCGATAACAAAAAAAAAAAAAAGAGAGAAAGAAAATCATGCAAAAAAAAAGAAGATAAAAGATGGTTCGGACTTGCCACAAATATGATGAATGAATAAGCTTGAAGATAAAGCGAAATGGCAAGAGCGACCTCTTAGGTGATTAAGAAAACATATGGACGAAAGAGAAGAAATTCCAAACCCTAGAAAACTAGCAGTTTCACTCAAAAGATCACTGCTGTTCCTCGGTCGGTTTTGGCGCTGCTGCTTCCTTGATCTCATCCGCGGCATCATCCTAATATGATCCACCAATAGAGAATTTAGTCAACAGAATGCAAATCATTCATAATAGGAAGAAAGAACAAAGGTGAGGACTGAGGAGTATCAGGACCGACCTGCATATCGGATGTCCAGAGAGTGAGGTTGTCACGAAGAAGCTGCATGATCAAGGTACTGTCTTTGTATGACTCTTCACCAAGAGTGTCCAACTCTGCAATCGCTTCATCAAAGGCCTTGACGACAATACATTACAACAACAAAACCAGTCAAATTCATGTTCTCGAGATCATATAGCAAAAGTTGATGAATCTAATGAGGTCAAGTGTTAAACCAAGTCCAATCACATTTTGATAAGTGGATTCAAATACCTGTTTGGCGAGGTTGCAAGCACGATCAGGAGAATTGAGGATCTCGTAATAGAACACAGAGAAGTTCAATGCAAGACCAAGACGAATTGGGTGAGTAGGAGCAAGCTCTGCATTAGCAATATCCTGCATAGAGAGTCACATATAAAGACTGTAAGATCAAAACCTAGACAATCTCAAGATCTTATTCAAGACTAATCTAATCCGAAATCAGAGTTTAACTCTAATGAATCTAATGAACCAACATCCACAAATCACAAACAAGATTCAAATAAACTAGATCTGAGATTTGGATTTGTGAGAAATTCAAACCTGAGCAGATTTGTAGGCGGAGAGTGTGTGTTCAGCGGCGTCTTTCCTCTCTTGACCAGTCTTGAACTCAGCCAAGTACCTGTGATAATCTCCCTTCATCTTCAGGTAAAAGACCTTGGAATCACCAGAAGCAGCGGCAGGGATGAGTCTAGAGTCAAGCAACTTGAGGATTCCGTCGCAGATTCCGGAGAGTTCCGTCTCGATCTTAGACCTGTAATCACGGATCGCCGTGACGTGGTCATCGTTACCGCGGCTCTCTTCTTTCTGCTCGATCGATGAGATGATACGCCACGAGGCACGGCGAGCACCAATCACGTTCTTATAAGCGACGGAGAGAAGATTTCGCTCTTCAACGGTGAGTTCATCGCCGTCGACGGCGGCGGAGACTTTCTCCATAAACTCTACCATCTCTTCGTACCTCTCAGCTTGCTCCGCGAGCTTAGCCATGTAAACGAACTCTTCACGCGCAGAAACCGCCATTGTTGTTCCTAGAGAGAATCGATTTCAAAGAGAAAAGATCTGAGATCTGATCAAAAAGAGAGAAAACGGTTTTGGATTTGAGAATCAGGTCAAGCGAGAGAGGACGACGAATGAATGAATTTTGAGTCTTAATGAGGGGAAAGTGATAAATGCGTTTTAGAGGAAAAGAGTGAAATTTGGAACCAAGATTTAATCTGGGCCGTTGGATTCGTCTCTTCTATTGTGGCCGGTCCTGCTTTTTTTTCTTTTTTTCACCGCAAATAAAGAAAAACATAAAAACACTTTTAGAAAAAATGGAAATTTTGTTTTAAATTAACAAATAAATGGTAATGTGATTTCACTACTATTAGTATAAACACACCCTAAGGAATTATAATATTTTGGTTCTAATGGTTAAAAACTTAAAATAAAAAGCTAGTTTTTGTAGACTTGTAAAAATATAGTTATTTACCAATTGTAAAAAGAAAATGGAGTTATGAGATTGATACAATAATGGAAGCAAGTTGGGTTAACAAAAATGGAGACAGCTCAGAGGGACACATGTGTTGTGAGCATGTCAGGGGATCCAATGGACTCTTTCTTCTCCAACTCATCTTTCACATTTTTGTGACTTCTCAAACGTTTTTTTTTTTTCTTTCAAAATTTAAATACTTCCGTTATGTGATTAAAATGTCTATTCTTCAAATCTTGAAACATTCAATTAGTAGTAGTACGTTGGCGATTTGTCGATTTCTGCGAGATTTTTTAAATCATTTTGTTCTTAATTATGTCGTTGTATTCCTACTGAAATCTTATACAGTATTTATTAGTATAATCGATTTAAGTCAATCGTAATTGGGTGCCTCTTCGAATTGAAATTAGTTTATTGGTTAATGCTTTGTGGGATTCTTATTAAGAACAACATTTGTTTTTCCTTTACAGTTTTGCTTATTATATTCATCCAATGCTTATATATCCTTATCCTTAATCCATGATTATGTTTCATTTGCTTTCTTGATGATTATTTTTTACATTCAACGAAATAATAAGATTGCTCTCTACTTCTCTAGCATAAATATTTACTACACAATAACATGTATTCATATTCAATGTATACTCATGATATAGCTAAAGATCATACGTTAAAAAAAACCGTCATATTAAAAAAGGTGAAAGTTCGCATATGCTCGAAAAGAGATTTGTGGTTTATCTAGCTATATAGTGTACACAAGTAGATCAAAAGTTTTCGATAAGTATTGAGATAACTCCTAACTATATTTAGATAATGCTGCATATACCCTAATCGTAATTAGCTTTCTTATCTCTATCTACGTACGATTCTCTACTTGTATAAATACCAATCTTCATGAAAGTTAATACACAAGATTTCAAGAAGAGAGTTAGATCGGTTGAACGATGATTTGTTCCGACGTGTCGGGAATATGGAAGAAAGTATGAATCGATGCTAAACGTAAAGTTTGAACCATATCGAACTGTTCATTCCCTATTGCCACCCCCCTTCATTTTGGGACATACTTAGCAGAGAAATGGACGATTGACTTGTGTGTTTCCGACGGATGGGACGTGACATTAATAACTTATACGATGACACTTATGTAATGCTTGTTGGTGCTTGGTCAATCCTTTGTGAAGGTGTCTCGCATGCTCAAGTCAAGATAAAATGAGAGGTTTCGAAGCCCGACAACTGAGCATATGTGGGATAGTATCTACGAGGCTCCCCTGCCAATAATTTTAATTATCTTCTGTTCTTTTTAATTCTTAACAAACTTTCGTCTTGATTGAATCATGTGATTCATGAGTCTTATCTTGTAAAATATATGATTCATGCATATTGATAACTTACGGTAACAACAAAAGCATTATCTATTTATTTGTCGTCGACAACAAAAGATCTTACGATATTATTATGGGACCTATTATTATTATAAGTTTCACACAACTAAACTTTAGGATAATTTTTAACTTTTTTTAAAGTCTTTAGGATAATCTCTTAATACATAAAACACTTCTCAAATACAAACGATCAAGTACTTTAAACTCTTCCAACAAAACAATCATTAGTAAATTCTTTTATAGAAGCCAATCAAATCCCACTAAAGAATAGAACCATGGACTTTGTTACTTGTTAAAATTTCGTGTATTTATTTCGTTTAGTAAAGTTGATTATATTTTTTTCCCTAAACAGTGTAAAAGATAACTCACTGCAGTTTTTTTTTCTAAAGACACATTAGACAATAATCCATTTTCATCTTCTTATTTCAGAAGATAATAATAAAAAATAATATTTTGGTCTGGACATAATACCCGAATCCGAATAACCGAACCGAACCAGACCTGAAAAATCCGATCCGAACACGAAGTTTTAATATACTCGAACGGATTCTAAACTTTACAACCCGAACCCAAACAAGTACCCGAACATATCTGAAATATAAATACATACTTATAATATATTAGTAATATTTATACTTGTAATAACTTAAGTGTCTAAATTATTCGGATGTTAAGATTATTTTTGGGTGTTTTAACCACTTTTGGTTAGATTCGGATATAAAATATTTAAAGTTTTTAGATTTTTTGAGTATTTTCAATACTTTACATAGAATCGGATACAAATTTTTTAATATTTGGATAGTTCGGATAAACCCGAATCCAAACCCGAATTATCCGATCTAAACCCGAAGTTTTAAAATATCCGAACGGGTCTTAGTTTTCTAAATCCGAAAAACCCAAACCCGACCTGAAAAATCCGATCCGAATATCCGAACGTCCAGGCCTAAAAAATATATTTTAACAAGGATAACAAGATTCTCTAATGAAAAAAATTCCTTTGTCACTAACATTCCAATTTTTAAAATTTATCGTAAGTATTAAAAACAAGTTATACGAGGTCGACATGAACCACATATGTAGTAGAAACCCCACGACACGACACGACACGACACGACACGACATTCGTTAAATGTCTCTCATAATTTTCCCCTTTATTTATAATTGTTTTGTAGTAATAACTTTTTGATGTAATATGTTTAAAAATTCCCACCACATATCAAATTGACAAATTCTGCATCGATAGTTCCTCTCACAAACACAAACAGAGTCAAAAGCAGTGACTCTGTTCCAAAAGCAAAGCAGCTTCGCAAGAAGATCAAATCCGAAAATGTGCGATCGATCTTAATCCTTTTGTTTTATTACTATGACATCACTTCCTAAATTTCCGGTAAAATCTTTTATTTCCCGTATACCTCGTGGTTCCTTTTTATTGACGTTATCTCTCAAATTTCTCTCTTCAATTAATTTAATTGGTTCTTCTGTCTTATGAACGACAACAGAGGAGCTCTATCTCGTTTCCTCTTATTTATTAACAATTCTCATACACACACTAACAGAAACACACATGTTTGTTTGATTTCATCTTTGTTTTCGTGTCTGAAAAGAGATAATCTGTTTTATTTGATTTGACTTTTGAGAGAACAGAGCATATAGAAACAGAGCAGCTCTGTTTTTTTTTGTTTGTGTTGCAGTTTGTAGAAGTATGGAGAGGTATGAGATAGTGAAGGATATTGGGTCTGGTAATTTCGGAGTAGCAAAGCTTGTTCGTGAGAAATTTTCCAAAGAGCTTTTCGCTATTAAGTTCATCGAGAGAGGCCAAAAGGTCTCTTACTCTCTTGAGCTAATTCAAGAAAATCTTGTTTCTATCATTTTTGTCTGATTTGTTTATTATTGTTGATGTTTATGAAAGATTGATGAACATGTACAAAGAGAAATCATGAATCACAGGTCACTCATCCATCCCAATATAATAAGATTCAAGGAGGTACATCTACAACAATGTGTTATTTATAAATAAAAAATAAAAAAATTTGGGGGTTAATTTATTTTATTTTCTTTTGAAAGTTCGATAAATTTGACAATTGTGTGAAAATATAGGTTTTGTTGACGGCAACACATTTGGCGCTAGTAATGGAATACGCCGCCGGAGGAGAACTGTTCGGAAGAATCTGCAGCGCCGGGAGATTCAGTGAAGACGAGGTTTATTTTATTAATTCTGTCATTTTTATCTAAAATAAACATTGTTTAAAAAAAAGTGAAAAATCAAAAGAAATTGTGATTTTTCAGGCAAGGTTTTTCTTTCAGCAGCTTATATCAGGAGTTAATTACTGTCACAGTCTTGTAAGAAACATAACATTCCAAGTTCCAACTAAATCAAAAACGTGTTTTCACAAAAAGAGTGTTTGTTTTTTTTGTATGGGGAAATGAAGCAAATATGCCATAGAGATTTAAAGCTAGAGAACACTTTGTTGGATGGAAGTGAAGCGCCGCGCGTAAAGATTTGCGACTTCGGATATTCAAAATCAGGCGTTCTTCATTCGCAACCAAAGACCACTGTAGGAACACCTGCTTACATTGCGCCTGAAGTGCTCTCCAAGAAAGAGTATGACGGCAAAATCGCTGATGTTTGGTCTTGTGGAGTCACTTTGTATGTCATGCTTGTTGGTGCTTATCCTTTTGAAGATCCTTCTGATCCTAAAGATTTTCGGAAAACCATCGGTCGGATTCTCAAAGTTCAGTATTCCATTCCTGATTATGTTCGAGTTTCGGATGAATGCAGACATCTTCTCTCTCGGATATTCATTGCCAACACTGAAAAGGTAAACAATGTTCTCTTTCGATTTCGGTTTTTAAATCTTGATTTTAGTTAAGCTTTGTTTGTAATATTTGGATGACAGAGAATAAGGATAGAGGAGATAAAGAATCATTCTTGGTTTCTCAAGAATTTGCCGGTAGAGATGTCTGAAGGATCATTGATGATGAATGGTCCATCGACTCAAACAGTGGAAGAGATAGTGTGGATCATTGAGGAAGCTCGGAAACCGATCACAGTAGCTACTGGACTCTCCGGTGCTGGTGTCTCTGGTGGAAGCAGTAATGGTGCCATTGGAAGTACCAGTATGGATCTCGATGACTTGGACACCGATTTCGACGACATCGATACCGCTGATCTCCTTTCCCCTATGTGAACAAATTTTATTACAAAAACAAAAGCCAAAGATTTCATGTTTCTGAAGCTGATACACAGACGTGATTATAATTGTCATCTTAAGAGTTTTGTTTATTAAGTGTTGTCCATTAGACATTTTCATTCATGTATTATACGTATATAAACAGAACATATTTAGTATAAATTAAGTTTCTCTGTCAGGGTAAAACAAAAACACTTATTTTCTGCAATGTGCCAGATACAACAACACAAATTAAGAAGATTTATTAGTTAATGGAGATTAGTAGGTTTTAAGTAGACTCCAAACAGTTTGCTCAACTTGTTCCCATGATTCAGCTGTCCGAAGTTCGTCCCAAATACTGAACATTGAA